CTTGGGGGATAAAGTTGTATGCAAACTCAATATAACACCTATAACCCAGGAAAAGTATGGAAAAGTGGATTATACTTACCTTTTCTGGCGGGTTCGGGGGGGTTTGGGATGCTTTTCGGGCGGACACCCTATCTTTCACATGAACAGGTGGAGTTTGCTCAGTTCGCCGAACTCCTTTCCAGACCACCTCCCGCCGTCCACTCGGCCGTCCGTGGAAGCTGGAAGCGAGTTCCTAAGAAGTTGACTTCCCCCTGTTGATGTTCTGCAGTCAACCCCCGGGTTTTCTTTATACAATGTATAGACTCTTGATTAATAAGCCCGCATTTGGATTGAAAGACCTCTTTAAGACCACCCTCGCAGCCTGTCCAGAACGACGTCCCCTGTTGGGACCAGCGCACGTCACTGCTGACACTCATGGTCGAACAGTGCTAGAGAAACTACTGTAGTATATAGGTGAAAGGGACCTGAAGCAAACTACCCACACACACACACATGCAGCAACGGAGCAACGACCTCCACTGAAGGGATCACAAGGGAATCTCCCACGAGATGTATTCAAACATCCAGATTCCATCAGTGCGGCCAACTCGGTGAGTTCAATTCAATTAGTAAAGCGAGGAAGAGCACCGATGATGGGGCCCCTTGAGGGAAAGTACGACCTATCCGAAGCCAGTGCGGCCTGGAAACCGCGCGGCCTGGAATAGATGCCGTGTGACAGGCATTTTGCCAACGTACATGAACATACGCAACCAAAAGGAGAGGTCACGATGTTACTAACATCTTCGCCTGCACACGCCTCCAACACAAATGAATCAAGAGTCGACATTAAGACCACCCATCCTATGCCTTAAGTGTCGTGTTTGGCAGTTTGGGTTTGGTTTGGCTGATGAGTCTCGGCAGGCCTCAGTCTGCCGAAGGAGACGAGCGCGGATGTGATGATGTGATGATGTGAGCAAGTCCAGTCTTCTGGGTACATCTCATTGAGTCGTGTTTATTTTGTTCGATGGACCGGACCAAGTCAAATAAGGTCAGTTCCTGACTGGTAGGCATAGGTTTACCATCCTCAATGGGCGACCTCTCATACGGCACTGTGTAGATGAGGCTTTTCCAGCAATCGCAATGTATTACGTTGCTGAATTGCTTTGGAGGAGCCATACTGTTTTGGAAAATTAATACTGTTCATCATGTTGTGATTTTCATGGCCAGTGGCGGCTAGGAGCGCGAGAAACGCCGCCTCCTTCAGGGCAAATCAGGTGCCCGTCCGCTACAGGAGGGTTGAGTCAAAGCGTGTGCATCATCGGCCTTGGCAGCTGCAGCTGAGTCATTTTGTCCTTTCTTGGTCAGTCTACTTATATATCTACTCTTAACTGTTCATAAACCATCCGATATGTTGACTGCCCGCCCCACCACAAAGCACTGACGGCAACTATATATAGCAGCGTATAGCACACACTGCAGGCTCCATGTCTATGGGCCGCTCCCGCCCCGTTGCCAGGGGCCTTTTCGACCCCAAGGACGGCCCCGCCACACCGTCACCAGCACCCAGCTCCCCTGTGAGGGGGCTGCTCCGCAAGCCCAGGTGGGTTCCGAGTCACCGGGTGGAAGACTTTGAGTCCTTTGAATTTTAAGGCTTCCAGAATCGATGTGGCATTTGTGGTGTCAACGGGACTGGAATTCGACCACATTTATTTGGACCTGCCTCATTGTTCTCCAATGGAGATCGATTTGTGTAGGGACCTTGTAGGGCACCTCTTGGAAGGTGCTGCTATATGCTGGCATTTGGAGGACTTCTGGCTTCTTCACTTCGTCTGCATGAGCTATCCTACAGGTCTTTGCCTTTCGCCTGCCGCCAGGTCTTCAAGCAACAGCCCGCAGCAGCTTCCCAACAAAGCTGAGAGATTCTGACCTGTTTGAGACCCTATATGGATCCACACATACCCTCCGAGAAGGTAATTAGGGACCCAGGGACACTGTTGTGCAAATTTGGAGGGTCCAAGTACCTATAGCTTCTGAGACGGTACGACTGGATCCCTGGGAAGTCAGGATGGGTGACCCACACACCTTCAACAATCTCCAAAGAAGGCTGCTTTGGGGGTGAACATGGACATAGGAGCGGCCAACATCTATTTCTTTGCACCAGGATGACCAGACCCTGCGTTTTTTCCAGGTGAGCGTCCCCCACTTCCAGGATTAGACCGAACCCTGGAGGACGTAAGGACCTAGACAAACGTTTGTTCGTGGGTCCTTCAGCCGGAGCACCCGGACATTTCTCACCAAAATCATCCAACATCTGATTCAATGCAGGTTTCCAGCTGCTTCAAGTTCGCTGGAGATTGGACACAGCCAGGTTAGCGCTGGTTTGTTTGGGGAAGACGCCTCTTCCGTGCAAGAAAGCAAGCCTACAGGTCCTGAAAAATCCTGAAAACCTCATTAATGAGATTCAGTGAGCCCAGAGTGAGGTCCAAAACCCGGTCAAAGCTCTAACTATGAGGCGCCTTTTGGCTTAGGGACCCGTAGAGGCTTCTATATAATCAACTCCAGTCCAATGACCTCAGTGACCTGGTCGCCTCGGTGTCGTGCCAGGCCTCGCATCACCAACCCTCGGCCCTGCCCACGGACGACCGCACCATGGCTGCCGAGCGTCAGGCCTCTGTCCGCGTCCGGCGCCAAGGGCGAGACGGCGGAGAAAGGTGTCCAGTGTCCAAGGAAAGGACGGTGGGGACAGATGGTGGGGTTGAAGTTTGCTTGGGGGGACCTGCTTAATGTGGGTCATCTAGTTTGGGGTGTGGAGATCTGGATGGTTTCGACTTCTATGCTACGCCACAAGGTTTTATGATGTTTTATGTTCACCCTCCTACCTGGGAGGATTTGTGGTTTCGGTAAGGAAGGGCTGGCGGCTGGCTTCCGTGGAAGGATCATTATTGTCCAAAGACAGTAGGGCTGGATGTGTTATTTAAACCCACCAACATTTTTTGGGTACAGTAACTCCAACAATTTTTCTACCCGCCCTAGTCGCTACTTTTACCTTGGGTTCGACAAGATATATACTGTACATAGTTTTGCAAAAAGTCTGCTCAATTGACTCCTCTTATTCCTATTTCTTTACCGAAGGATCATGTTTTTTGAACCCTCGAACTCTTTCCTTTTTTTTACCAGGCACTCTTTGTTTTAACTCCATTACATTCTTTTCTAATGCTTGGTGGCACCAAGGGGCCCCAGGCGCTCCAAACGCAATCTTGTTATAGGACCAATTGGGCTGCGCCCGCGCCATGAAACCTGCACAATCTTTACAGTTCACGGCCTCAACAGCAAGCTCCAGATCGCAAGCGGCCACACAATACAAAAACCCAGAGGCTCCATAGGACTGCCGATCAGGCCAGGAGTGGTGCCAGGGGTTCAATGTAGGTATGGCACACATGGAGTGCATGGGAAACACAACCACAAAACACAACCACACAATACACAACCAACACACACAGCGCAAGTCGACTTGCTCTGGCGCTCACGGACGTGATTCCGCAACTCGTGGGGTGACCAATTTGAAAAAGGCGATTCCGCTTCCGCTTCCGCTCCCGTTGGTCACACCAAAACCTTTTTTAAAACCTTGGGTTAGAAAAGATTCGTCTAGGGTTTAACAGGTTGCGGGGTTAGAACAACAAGTTTGAGTGTAAAACCATGCAGGTTGCAGGGTTAAAACAGCAGGTTCCAGTGTCAAAAAGAGGTTAGGGTCAGAAACAAGAAGGCTTTAGGGCTTAAAAAAAAGGGTTGCCCAACCACAGGGGGTAGTTGCCCAGCTGGATGCAATATGCTAACTTGGCAGGCATTTGTATATAGGCTTTTGGTAGGGTTCCGGCACCTTAATGCAGAGTGACTGCCTGTTCCACTCTATATAGTAATAGTAGGTTGCTGTATTTCTTTTTTATAGAGCCCTCAAGTATCGATTGGTAGTGGATAACTTCCTGCTTGGTATAACTTCCTGCTTGATTGTGCCCATGAGAGGGGGGGAATCCATGGTGCTTGCTCGGTGCGGACAAACACGGTTCTGGTGCTGCTCGTCGTCTGTGGATCTTTTGTGTCGATCTTTTGGGGGCAAAAACCTGAGGGTTTGGCGGACTAGGTGATTTTCTACCAGGACCCTCCGACCCGACAGGGGTGTCCTGGCTGGACTACTCCACACGGATCCTAGGATGGCTTCCAGACAGGGCACCCCTGTGGCGGCCCGGACCGAGGCGGCCTCCACCCGTGGTGCCGTTCCGCAGCACAGCTCCAGCACGTCCGCGCTCCTGCGCTTGAGGTGTGGTTGGGTGTTTCTTCTAACTCTCAGAGTATCCGGAATGGAAGGGATGAAGTCAATTGCAGTGCATGGGTATATCGATTATATATACCTAGAACCCATTTGACCATTGTTTGGATAGAAAAACCCTTTTGGCTCCAACACAGTCAGGGGTCAATCAGGTTCTAGGGGTCAATTTGTATATCTAAGTGCTCCATATGAAATGGTCTGAGTTTTGTTTTTACCTCTTCTTGGTGCCAAGATCAGGATGGCTTCGGAAGAACGCTGCTCAACTTGAATGAGTCCAAGGCAAAAAAAGATCGAAGGATTCCATCACATGAACACACCCCTTCCTCCCGCTTTTCCGCAAATCAGCGAGCTTTGGACATTTGGAGCCCAGGGCACCTGTGGATAACACAAAGGCATGAGCATCATCCGACCTCCAGACTCATCCCGCCGGGCGACGGAGGACAAAACCCGCGGTGACACCGGGGATGCTCTCCCCGGGTGGTTTTCCGGAGAAGTCGTGTACCATGACGACCATGAGGTACTCGATCGGAGAGATTCGACCTGCACCAACCCGGGCCCTTCTCCAATGGAAAGAGTTTGGTGAAAGGGGGTCCAAACCTATGGAGGCTCCGTCCCCCATGGAGGGCCCAAGGGCCCGTGGTGCGTTCTTTTTCGTTGCACCGCCTTTGGATCGCTCGCCCCTACCGCCAGCTTGGGCTCCAAACGGGGGGGAAGTGAGGGCCACCAGTGCCACAAGAGCAGCTCGCTCCGATTCCGCCGCGCTCGCCGCCTCCGATCGCTCCGAAGAATCCGAGTCGGCCATGACGGAGCGTTGGCGACAGCTGCTGGATCAACTGGGCCAAGAGTTGCTCGGATTCGGCGTGTTGGCCGTTCGTTGGGCTTTGAGCAAGCTTTTCCCTAGGGCTCCAGTCGTACCTTCTAAGAAGGTGGGACTGGGGTAGGTGCCAGAAAGCTCCAAATATGTCCAGTCATACCTTCTGAGGAGGTACGACTGGAGCCCTAGGGTTTCAGAGGTGGTAAATCCGCGCGTCCTTCCGCGCGTGCTTTTTTTTAACGTACGCAATTGGGTGAAGCTTTTAAGGGTCCAAAGGCCGGGGAAGGCGGGGGTCAAAACACTCCAGAATTATTATAGGTTTCAATTAGCCCTAAGAATCACTGGACCCTCCTATGGAGGGTTTTGACCCTGCAGAACGCAGGGGTTTGGACCCGAACCAAACCTTCACCGAACTGAGGGTCCTTGATTCTTACGGAGGGTAGATTATCAGGGTCGGAGTTCTTGATGCAACCACGGGCAGCTTCGGAAGGCCGAACCTGCTAGGTCTTACGATTGGGTTGAGCATGCTGACTCATCCAAAACATGATGCATTTTGATGTGACCTCAAGTGTTCGAATTGCCTGAACTATCCAATTGCTGTGTAATGGAGATCCCTAAGTAGTGCGGGCTCAGGGTAGTCCATTCTTTGGTGTATTCCAAGATTCCTTAGAGGTGCTTAGACCGCTTAGACCCAACACTTCAATGGCAAATGGGTTCCGTCCATGTCGAACCCCTTTCCACTCATGGTAAGCTGTGTCCGATGTGCCTTGGGGCTACACCGTTTGGGCCCAACACCTATACGATTCTTCCAAATTGACTCTTTTGGGTTTCGGGCGCCGCTTCGTGTCATTGAAGATCTCTCCAAAACCGGCGTACAAAGAAGCGGCGAGGTTGGAACAACAAGCTGCGCAACTGAAAGATTTGGAAGACAAGAATCGTCAACTCCTGGATTCCTGGGCCATCATGGGAACGAGTTTGGGGGTCGTTTCGCTTCAAATTGCGTCGACGTTTTTTTGGGGGGCAGGTTTCGGATGTGTTTTGTGGGGAGTTTCAGGAGGTTTCCAACCTGCCAAATTCTCAGAATGTTCTTCCTTGAGTAGTGGTTGAAGGAAGTGGCGGATGTGGGGTGCATTTTGGGAACCACTCGGCTGTTCGTCCAACATGTGGCGGAAACGATGTGGCGTCAGACGGATTTGCGACGATGAAATCGTGGGAAACGGTCCAAGGTCTCAGGCAATGACATGTCCAAACTACAGCCATCCAGGTCCTGCCCTGTCGGGCCCTCCCTCTTCGCAGGGGTTTGGGCCCGAACCATTGTAGGGTGGAGTATATAGATTCTATAGATAGATAGAATACGAATTCACTAGTACGAACATAACATGAACCAATGCGATGAGATGTCCAGTTTCCTATGGTCCTATTGCTTGTTGGCTTTCCTCATCTCCTACAGGATGGCAGAGGAACTTGTTGGGTTCAGCACAAACGTCTTTGTTTGACAATTGAAATGTGTTTCAGTCACTGGAGCTACTTCCACAGGGAATTCATGGAGTCCACGTACTCGTATGTTCTGGATCCATGAATTCTTCTTTGAGTACGCACGCGGAAGCTGCATGAATCAATCAGCATACCCTAGCCAACGACAATCAAAATCCGAAGTTGCTTCTTGTGATGTTTGATCAGTTCCAGGTCTTTTCCAGTCAGTCCCACTTTTCCCAACTTGCCGCGTCCTTTTTGGACCGCCGCGTGAAGGGCCGCCTTCGCAGGACGCGGAAGCAGCGCGGAAGGGTCGGCTCAGCCACGCCAGTCGCGACAGCGAAGACTCGATCGAGGTGGAGGGTGGAGACGTCGTTCCCAATGCACCTTCGTGGCAGCGACGGGCCTCGCGCGCGTGACGTCACGCGTTCGGTGCGCCGATGGGGCGAGCTGAGAAGAAGTGAGTTTGTCGAAGTCGGAGAAAGGACTGTGGAGCTGGAACTTGTCTTGTTCTTGAATGCGGAAGGAGAGAGAGGTTCTAATTATAGGAAGTCGTCCGGCATCGCATGAATGAACGAACGGTTCTCGACCTGTTCATACCACAGGAATAACAGGTCCTTGTATAACAATCGTACCTATATATAGTGCTTTTCGTGCAGGTCACGGTCTCATGAACCGTCGGTCGGGTGCGAACGAAGTCAGAGACCACGAGACCACGGGACCAGGATCCTGTGAAGGGTCCAGGCCTGATTACATAGATCCCCCAAAACATAATATAGATCCCTAGGGCTCCAGTCGTACCTTCTGAGAAGGTGTGACTGGGGTGGGTTTAGAGGGTCCAGATACCTTCTGAGGAGGTACTTGGAGCCCTAGGGGATATCGATGGAAAAGTAGATCCCCACTGAAGCGTTTCCATCTATTTGGGGGTTACTATCCTGACCTTCTGGATGGCTGGCGCAGCTTGCCGACGCCCGAGGTGATCCCACGCAACTACCACGAGCGAGGCTCCCGTGTGTCTGTCATGGACTCCATGGAGGTGGACGCTTGACGTGTTCTCACTGGCCTAAGTCCTAAGTCTTGTCTCATCTAATGTTTGTCATGTTGGGTCCCTATTGCTTGCCCCACCCAACAGAAACACGGGGAAACAGTTAGTTAGCCTCTACTTTTCAGGATAAACTGAGGGAGTTAGTTGAGAGGGTCCTTTGTGCGTTTGCTTGTTTGAAAGTGTAGGTTGAGTCATGTTGGGGCTGCGGCATGCACAAAAATGCGGATTTCATCTCACTCACACCGCCCCCCTTGCCAGATCTTGATGTCTTTCTGGAGTTGCAGGCAGTAGACTAGACAAATCATATGGGCCTATGTTCGGAACCTTTCTCCCCACCCACCCTTCATTCGTGGTACCTTTTTGACAGCTGCCTTCAGCATCCTTCAGGCCATCGCTAGTAGGTTGGAATTATTAGTAGGTTGGAGGCCAGGGCCATTGCTCTGAGGTTGGAGGCCATTACTAGTTTAGCTTCGTATTGAATCCCTTCCGCTGCTTGAGGACCCTCTGGTGCCCAATCCGCCTCCCTCGCTGCTCCGACCCCAACGGCCAAGCCAAGCATCTGTGGCCTCCCTGGCGGATGCCACGAAACTGCTGGCGGCCGAGAAGATGCAGCTCTCCGTGCCTTGGATTGTTTTATCGGGTCATAGCCAGGAAGTATGGTGGGGGCAAGTGGTGAAACCCCACCAAACGAAGAACAGATAGAAAGTTCGGTTGACCTTGAATTTTAAAACAGGGGACCGCCAGAGTGTGTGTGTTCTATGTTTCTGCAGTTTCTGCATCAATCTGCCTGAATGTTCTTTGTTTGTGTGCGACATGAACTTTCCACTGTTGTTGCCTTTATGCCATGTGCATTTGAAAGCTGCCTCAATGTCATTGGCAATGGGAAAGCCACAAAAACAACCAACACCTTGAGAAAACCAAACCATCCGGCGAGTGCAGCGTGACTCCCTGCTCCCAAGAGAGGTTTTGACCTGCTACTAGCCTCAAGTACCCAACCGTTGCGACCGGGTACGACACCGTCGTTCCACCTCCGCTCCGGTGCAGGTGCTCCGGGCAGAGAAGACCATTGAGTTCGCGGCGCGGGGGAGACCGCGGCGGACCGAGGAGATCAAGTAGCAACGTAATGTCATTGATAAGTCATTGTGGTTAGGTGGTTTTTTGGAGAAGGTGGGCAGCAGCGATGTTTGGAGCGTGTTTCTGTGTCATTTAGGTTGCGGTGATTTTTCGCAGAGCCTCTCGGAAGATTCACGGACTGCTTGGTAGGTCCAAAGTATGCGCCTATGGCGAGTTGAGCCTGATGGACCAAATGTTTGTTGGACGAAGATTTGATCAAAAAAAGATCAATGTTTGATCTATTGCCTAGGAATCATCTAGGAGCAGCAGTTCCTAAGTAGAGAGTTCAACCATGTTCAACCTCTCCTCGCAAATCGTGTCGAACTTGCGAAACTCCGATGAGTCTCGAGTGCAAGATGCTTTCATATGCTTTCCATTCCCAGAAACGAAACATGGGACTGCCATACATGCTGCCCTACATTGACCCCCAACTGATCGGCATTGACCCCCAACTGATCGGCAGTCCTATGGCAGTCCCATGGAGGCCCATGTCTGGGATTGGCACCCCTGAATTCGATGGAATCGGGTGGCCCGAATGCTGCCAGACAGTTTGGGGAATGCTACTTGCACATCGGTGCACGAGGTGTATTTGAGTCTCTTCCAGTCCATGCTTGGGATATATACACCATGGACTGGAATACATACAAAAATAACGTCATGAAGAAAACCGACAAATTCATCATCCATCCATTAAGGTGTAAGTTTTGGAAGACTTCCCAGTTGGGACTCAGTCTACGGATTGGTTGGTGGTCTCAGTCTCCCTTAAATTACACAGCGATATAGGCTATAGGTAACTGTAAACTCTTCCTTTTCCCCCCAAAGCAAAACGTCACCTGGGCTCTCACACCCATGTAGGTAAACTCCTCCCCCCCCAAAAAAGAAGAGAACGTCACCTGGGCGACCTCTTCCCCCCTGGGCGGCGACCTATATCGCTATATCGCGTCGCGGAGGTCGGGTCGAGCCGGAGCCGCCGCGCGCCAGGCTCAGAGGCCCTGGTGGGTCATCAATCCGGACAGCAACCGCTTCTCCCACGTGTGGCTTGGTTTGGGCGGCCGGCTGGCCGTGGGCCTTCTCTTTTGGGCGGTGCGAACCGATGGAGAGTACGTAAGGATTGAACGTATGGAGGGACTGTAGGGGTTCCCATGCAGGTCTGGTTAGAGTCTGGCTGGGTGATCTTTGGCGTGATGTTGGCGGGGATGTTTGATAGATTCTTGTCCCGGCTTCCTTCAAGCCTAGGTGGCAAGTGGTGACCAACTTCGCGTTGGCCTTCGTCGCATTGGTGACACCTCTCCAGGCCGAGCGATGTAGCTAGGGTGTTTCATGAACTGGGGTGATTGCATGTAGCTGGCGCAAGCATGTTAGTCTTTGGTGTTGCAAACGCGCTTCAGTCCGCTTTCTCCAGCAGACTGATCGCCAGCTGGTGGAAACAGCAACCCACTCTGAGCCACTATGAGCCACTTGTGTCATTTGAGCTGTTCCATCCGACTGCGCCGACGCGGCGACCGCCCGCCCGTTTCAAACCTCCGCTCTGGAAGGACCTCTCCCTCCGAGCCTCCCCGAATGGTTTGTGTGCTTGTGATCCAACGAGTTCATTCAGTGAACACGTCTCCAAGAAGTGGGTGCGCGGTGAGACACCAACCGAACCCTTTGCTTCGCCCGCTCAGGGGCCTGACCTTGAGAAAAAGACAACGTTGGCCTTGTGCAGACACTGGAGCCAAGTGATTACACTCCGACCTACTAACATGGAACTTGGTAGAGGAACATTGTTTTTCCACCCGTTTCGGGCGATGTGTTCGTCGGAGGGTAGCAGCTGCATCGCATGCGCTCCGGAGCGCTTGGATTTGATGACATTAATTAGTATAGTATACGACCAAAGGTAACGTTTGCTGCACCAACATAAACTACACCGAAGCCTCAGATGGTGCTTAAAAAATGGTAGTTTAGGTGACCCGAACCCCAGCGACCCCCAGTGCGGCCCCCAGCCCGGCGGCGTTTGGGCGGCCGGCGGCCCCTCCGCCGCAGGTGGGATTGCTTGAGATCGACTGGGATGCTCTCTTTGTCATTACCTGGTGCCTTGGGAGCGCGAAAAACTGGGAAGTGACCGGCAGCATTAGGCGAGTTCTGGGGTCTTATTCTGCGCAAGGCCTGGTTTTGCGAATCAGGTTCCCTACGAGCAAAACCCCTTCAGGGGAATATTGTTTTCTTTCCAGCTTCCTTAAGCAAATCCAAGCTTAAGTGGGCGGGTGTTTGCCCCCAAGTTGGTCAGGTGAGTTCTTTGATCCCTGTCGAGCCTGTCGATGCTATTTGAAGGGAGGGTCATTTCGTGGGGACACGCGTGGAGAGTCGTATTGCCCAGTTGCCGTGTTTGACCGTCAATGTGACCTGTTGATTGATAACCCCCCTACCAGAATGGTTTTGCATCTCCTTGTGGGGGGCGGTTGTACCAGTTAAATGAAGTTAATCAAACTAATTACTACGGTACAAATTACCTGGTCAATCACGTGGATCTGCATGTCGTTTCGGGAGTGTTTCTCCCACGGTGCTGGGGTGTGTGTGATCATGTCCATGGAGCCGCCGAAGGTGTGTGGACATCGTCTTCATGATTGATCCTTGGCACTGAAAAGATGTGAAAAGAGCACGTAGAGAGAGGGAGAGAGAGAGGGAGAGAGAGAGAGAGCTTAGGCTTAGACCATCCATGGGACTGGAACATATGTCGCCCCAGAAAGGCTCTCCAACCCCCCCAATGTAGTTATATAGGCCATACATGGAGAGCTCAAAACAAGAGATCACTGTCCCAGAGTGTGACACCCTGCGGAAGGGATCCAACTCCATGCGTTCTTGGTCATAGTCTAGGCTTGCGACCAACCATTGATTTATATAATGGCCCTTTACGGAACAACCATTGTTGACTAAGAATTTTGCTACAAAACCAGGTCAAGCTTTCTGTTCATGGTCTTGGACCTTGGAAGGCTAGGGCAGAGTCATTGATTTCTTGGTGTTGCTTGGTTGTCAGGTTGTGGTAGGAAATGACCCTGTGGACCCAGCTTTCAGTGACCACCACCTCCAAGAGTTGCATCATCACTATGTTTGAACAAGGCCTTTACAATACCAACCATCATCGTCCACGGTTACTGGATATTATAAGATCCATGTATCAACTTAGTCTACACTCATGAGATCTCATGAGTCTACAATCATGAGTGGATGTTTTGGGGCACCGGCACCATGACAACACCGCTTCAAGCGCTTCGCCACTTCGCCCCGGCGCGTGGGGTTCCGCAGTGCCCCAGCGGTGATCGCGGTGCCACCAGTTGGCCCCCCTTGGGGTTCCGGAAGTGGATACTTTCTAGGGATCCAGTCATACCAAACCTCAGGTTCCAGGTTCGGTGAGGACGGTTCGACACTGAGACATGTAGGTGCCAAAACGTCGGGTCCAGTCGTACCGAACCTGAGGTTCGGTACGACTGGATCCCTAGGGACCAACTAGCCAGACGCGACTAATGGGACTGCCATATTTGCCGATCAGTTGGGGTGGTGCCAGGGGGGTCAATGGGGCGGCATATATTCCAGTCCCATGGAGCCTATGGGATAGCTTCTTTGTTACGGGTGAAACGATTCCCAAGGAAGCTTCTTGCTCCTAGGGGTTTCTTGTGACTAGTAGCTTCAAAGACATACTAGTAGCATCTAGTAGCTTCTGGTTAGTAAGAATGCTCCTAGCAGCGATGCCAGGAGCCCCTAGTAGCGTCCTTGCTCCTGGCAGTACGGCCAGGAGCCCCTAGTAGCTTTAGTTCTACTGCAAGCATTTTTGCCATGACTACGCCTCCAGTATAGTTCCACTATTCTACTATGTTCTACTGTTTCCTGCCTGCTATAATGGATTTCTTCACTTGGTCGTTCATTAATTCATTCATTCATTCATTCATTCCAAGATGCTCTATGCAGTCGTCCCCATTCGCCAGGACATGGTACTTCAGTTCATTACCATGTACCCACGCACAACTGCGCGGGGCATGGAATTGGAGTACCGGCCCTCAAAGATTGCGAAGCATTACATGATGACCTGGTTTTGCCTAGATGCTTGGCCGAAGTTGGAAAAGCTGCGAGACATCTCCTCTTCCAAACCTCTAACTGAAGATTGATGAAGATGAGACCTACCCTTCAGTTAGAATGGCGAGCCATCCTCATGCACTTGATGAAGACCTCTCAACGTTGGGCCCAGTTGGGAGTAGAGGGCCGCAATTCCCCAAGGTCGGCGGAAAATGGACCTGTCGACAGACGTCTTAGGGGATTCTTGGGGTGCCAGTGCCATCGAACTTCTGGAAACCACAACGATCACCTCACACCTCAGCTCCAACCCTCAAGTCCGGGTGCTCCGCGTCGAGGACTTTGCGACGCTGATCCCGCTGGACACCATCGGCCTGCTCGCAGGGGCGGATCGCTTGAAGGACCTGCGCAGCATCAAAATCATCCGCGTGCTGCGCCTCTTGAAGTTGCGCCCGAGCCGCATCATCGACGGCAGGGGTGGTTTGGAAGAGGTCAGACATAAATTGAATTGAGTAAAAGAAGCCACGGGTTGAATCAGTCTAACCCGGCTTTCAGACAGACTTGTTCTGAGACTCCAGGGAGTGTTGGAGGGCTTCTTCCCTGAGAGGAGCGTACGCCGCAACGGGGGACCTTCCGGTGACGGCGGCGCCGGGTCAGCTCCCCAAGCCCGACGGGAGCCGGTTCCACCTACTCCCCAGGTTCGGACTCGTACCACCACGCCAAGGAGTGAGACGACTCCAATTCATATGGGATTTCAATAGGGCTCACATGAGTCGACTCAGTTCGTTCGACCAGTCAGTGCGACTGACTGATTCCTTGTGAGCCAAGGATGCGATTGTTGAGAAGCTCCAAGCTCACTCATCGATGCTCGAAGAATTCCGCCAGGGCCAATGGTGGTTGCTATGTTTTTGGGAGTTGTGTGGAAAGAGCGACGGAGGGGAACCTGTTGTTCTCACTTCGTTTGCACCCCGTGCTTGGTGCACGTTCTGGAGCTACATGAGCTACATACATGAAGGTGAGAGTATGACGATGTATTCAACGTTTGCTGGCATCACCCTTGAGTATCGGCCTTGTTTTCGGTGACACGAGGTCGCTCCCCACATTCCCGGATCATGCGGAGATACAGGGGCCATGCACATTCCTGAAGCTTTGACCAGTCTAGTCGCCCATTGGGCGAATTTTCGCCAGGACGAATCCCATGTGGACCTGTTCAACCGGTGGCTGAGGACCAAAACCGGTATACCAACGGGACTCCCACTGGGTTGATGCGTGGCGACAGGACAACAGAAACGAACTGCAGCTGTACCAAAAACGAAGCAACACAACTGGCCAGTGAACATCGATTCATGTTCTTCTTTTCGGGGCAATGTTCTGGGCAAGTGTTTGGGTGTGAATGTGAAGACCGAGAGGTCTCCCGGTCTCCCTATTTCTGGATGCTTCATCCCACTCATGATAGAGGGGGTGTTCATCAGATCGAAGTCCTCACGGCTCACGACCTCGCTTCCAATCCATTCAGGAATCGAAATTCCAGTCTCAATCCCCTACCAGCACGTGGCCTTGCTCCGCTTCTTGCTGGTCCTCATCTTGGCATGCCACTGGTTGGCCTGTGTATGGGCGATGACCCTCAAACTCGCCCCTCGCTGCATGTGACCAGGAAAGAGAGGCAAAGCTCAGGTGGACCAAGACAGATAGGCAAAGCCGCTCAATAAGCAGCAAGACACATGGAACAAGTACCAGGACAATGGTCTTGAGATGTCTTGAGTTGAGATTTTGCTGGGCCCTGGGTCTCAATTGGTGACCTGTTGAGTCGGGTTCTGGTTATACGTAAACACGTAAACATAGGTAACATTTACTATATAATCACCAAATGACACCCAAATGACTCACCATTGACCATGTTGTTTGCTTGGTCTTTGTCCTACGTGAGTACATGATGTCCGTGCATATGAACCGAAGCTTTCGGGGGACGGTCTTGACGAGCTTTTCCAAACATCATCACAATTTTCATGTTTCCCTAGGGATCCAAGTACCTCCTCAAAAGGTACTTGGACCCTCCAAACCCATCCCAAACACCTTCTCAGATCCTTAGGGTGTCTATTTCCCTAGGGATCCACATATACCCTTTGAGAAGGTGATGTGTTCGGCACTGTTATTTCAGGTGCCAAAACGTCGGGTCCAGTAGTACTGAACCTGAGGTTCGGTACGACTGGATCCCTAGGGTTTTAAGTCTATACCGTATTCGTGTTTCTTTCCGGGCAGTGCCATTTGCTGAGATTTGCTGAGATGACTTCGAACCAAAAGGAACCTCCAGGATTCACACCAAGCGCGACTTCGAACGAGGAACACCAAGCGCGATGGACGACTTCGAACAAAAGCCCTGGATGGGAAGCCCGTGGACCACGAAAAAGAATCACTTAGGCAACTGTGGGCCACAATCCCAGACACGACCCATGGGACTGCCATAGGCTGCCGCCCCCATTGACCCCCTTTCAACCACCCCTGGCCGTTTTGAAGGCAGTCCGGACTGGCAGTCCCATGGAGTGTCTGGGAATGATTCCTTCAGTTGAAGCCTCATGGGATCTGTTCAGATGACTTACACTCCAGGTTTCGGCCCATGCAAACCCCACGGACATCTGGCGTGTGCGGGCGTGTGGGAATCCCCAACACACACGCGGTCGCGCCGACACAAAACCTAGACAATCCATGGGACTGCAATAATAGTTACATGCATTAGATCATCTACCCCATCTATGATATGCATGACCCATCCATGTTAAGAATGTATTCCAGTCCCATGGATGGTTTGGGGAAAGGTGGATGAGAAATATCCTCAATGGATCAACGAGATCGAGCTGGCCGACGCGCCCTACGGCATCGTCACACGCGAGTCGCCGCTGCGTGTCTTGGTCGGAGTCGTAACAACGACGTCCTTGGTCGGAGACGGGTAGGATTGGGAGTCGAGGGGGTGGTCCATGGTGTTCATGTAGACTCATTGATTTCATCCAGCATCCCCCAAGATGAAGAGGCTTTACAATGGTTTTACCATATATAGTTACATATACCAGGAGACCCTAAGGGGTCTTAATTGGAGGGGTCTTAGAGGTCAAAATAATTGGTGACCCCTTAGGATTTCAAGGATGAAATTGAATGATTTAGGGTGTCCAGGATTGTATATTGGTGTTTATCGATGAAAGAACTTAGAACATGGTTGGAACAAATGATGATGATGAATGAGGGCGGCCAAGATCTGCTTCAGGTTGTCGAGGTTGGCCGCCTGCACGGCTCAAAGATGCGGAGGAGGATGAATGAAGATCAGGAAAGGTGGGACAGGATCACCTGATTACACTACAAACACGACCTCAAAAGTTGAAATGCCTCCTTTTTCAAAACCGCATTCAAGTTTTACCTCCAGCCCAATCCTTGTGCTGCCATGGGTGATGCTTCCAAAGAGGCTGAACACACCTTACCCGCGATGGATGATAGCCTTAAGTGCCTAGTTCAAAAAATTAAACAATATATTATGCAGAAAGTACTCTGCACGCATTGTGGGATGTACACTAGTACACTTGGAAGAAATAGAAAAATCACTAAGGAAGTTTGCGAAGGAGATTATCAAACGAATGCCAGTCGAGTGGTGCAAACAGGAAAGAGCCTTGGTGCCCGGGGGGGGCATCAGGGTGAAGAGAAATCTTTGGATGCGGTCTGCTTTTCAGCACTCCAAGCTTGAACGTGTCCCTCGGGAGACACGTCTTCGTGGTGTGATCTTCAAGGTGATGCAGAAAACACACCTTGGCACCTTCGATTCATTGTGTGTATGTCTGTTCTTTTTTTTGTGGGGTGGAATTGAGATGAAATAGATAGGGGATACTTGAGGCACTGCAGTTCCAAAGCAGCCTAGGTATAACGTGGGATTTGGAGACCCGATTCGAGTTCATTCGCGAGCAAGTTTCTGATCTTGCACTTGTAAGTGTATTGTTTGAAACAATTGTATTTCAATTTTGAACTTTAAGAAACACATTAAACAGCTGTTTTGTGACAAACCCAGGCTTTCAGGGTGCATCAGCTACTTCTCCGTCATACGAAACAACATCGCAAAGGCCATGTGTCCACCTCCCCGGCGAACAAGACTGGGCTATCAGCTTCCAACTCGCACCGTGCAGATCAATTATCAGGTTTTCCCTTGCATTCTAAGGGTTTTGGATCCTGTTTGTTGGGCAAAGTACCACATCCAAGGAACACCTCGATCGACACAATGGAGACTCAACCAGTTGAGGAGTATAAGAACCTCGATATCCCAGAAATAGATCCCGAGGACATGCTACTTGGCCAATTTATTCCAAATCCTTTGGTCAGCTTTGTTGGGGTCACTCTACCTCTTAAGCTTCCACTCCAAGGGAGAAGTGTGGCATGCTTCCTGGCGTGACAGCTGATGGTTCTGACCAAAATGCCCAAGATGACCAAGAGCAGGGGGAGTCTGAGGCTCCAACTGATGATGAGGAGATTTTCTGAGCTTAAATGTTTTGTTTATTCAGGGGATACCTTTGACGGACAGGACATTCCAAGAATAACAACAGGTTTCATGTGTCCCAAATCCATTTTTGGTCAGGACATCGCTGATGATGAGGACTCTGATGACAAGGCCCAAGAAAAAGTTATCCTACAAGAATGCCAAGCGATGCGCCAATATTTGGACGCAAAAGATGACCATGACAAACAGATCCAATACACTGGGTACTTGAATGCCAAAGCTGCGACAGACAAACACTTTTTGGACTGGGACGGCAACAAAATGTTGTTTTTCGATCTGAATGGTTTCAATTAGTTAGCCTGATTTTTGGACATTCGTGTGCAGGACAAAGGTGAAGAAGTCCCAGGAGACATGCCACTGTTAAAATTCAAACGGAGGCTCAGGAGGATGAGGACTGAGGACGTGGAGCCGAATTCTGAGCCAGAGAAAGAAGAAGAACAAAAGGTGGAGGGTAAGGATTCAAGCAACGAGGACGAGGATGAAGAGCAAAGCAAAGGGGAAGAAGGTGAATCAGAAGAAGAGGAGTCAAGGCAGGGAAATACCCAAAAGGAAGAAATTGATGAGACGTTGCAGGACGAGGAGGAGGAAGAAGATAACAAGACGTGGCACTACACCCCAGAGAAGGAGAAACAAAAGGAGACTTCTGAAGAGGCAAAGAAAGAACCTGAGGATGATGAAAGCTCAGAGTCAGAGGAGGACAAAGTGGAAGATGAAGATGAGAAGGGCCCAAAAGATGAGAAACCAAAGCCACCAGCAGATGGCAAAGTGGGTCGGAGTGACAAGCCTACAGAGGAGGAGGACGAGAAGGAAACGGATCAGGATAAGATGGAGGACGACGACCAGGATGATGAAAACGAGGACAATGATCAGCATTCTGAACATGCAGTTGTTTGGGGTCCATTGACTGTGCAAGGTGTTGACCACCTCACACATGCATTTGGATGGGGGGGGGGGCCTGCAGGATGAGCCCAAAAAAGAAAGCAAAGACGAGGACTCTGATGTAGAGGTTGAGGCGATTTCAGACAGCGAAGAGACTACAAAAAGCAAGAGCCCTGAGAAAGACCTTTCAGACAAAGAGGACGATAAACAGGACAGGGGCTCTGAGGAAGAGCTTCCAGACAAGGAGGATGATAAACAGGACACAGGCTCTGAGGAAGAGCTTTCGGAGAAAGAGGATGATAAACAGGACACAGGCTCTGAGGAAGAGCTTTCAGACCAAGAGGACGATAAACATGATAAGGGCTCTGAGGATGAGCTGTCAGAAAAAGAGGAGGATTTGAAGGACAAGGGCTCTGAGGAAGAATTCTCAGACCCAGAGGAGTGCAAAAAGGCAAAGGGCTCTGACGAAGAGGTTTCAGGCAAGGAAAATGATCAAGCAAAGCAAGTAGACAAGGAAGAAACTTCAGATGAGGAAGAAGGTTCAAAACACGAGGACCCCAATGAGAAAGCTTCAGACAAGGAAGACGTGACAAAGGAGGAGGAGGAGGAGAACCAGGCAAGTGAGGCTGAGAGTGAGGAAGATGAGGAAGTGAAGACAGACGTGATTGAGGACAGCTCCAAAGACCCAACTAAGGCAAAGGGTCAGGTTCAAAATGGTGGAAAGGATGGTGATGATTCCTCATCAAGCTCCAGCTCCTCATCAAGTTCTTCGAGTTCTGACAGTGAAGTTGAGAAATTGCTCAATTGTTCAGACGATGAACCAATGGATGCCGAAAATGATCTCAAGGATGCCAAAACCAAAGATGAAACGGATGAAAAGGAAACATCAGTGAAAAAGAGTAGCCCAAGGAAAGAAGAGAAGGCTGTTGAAAGAACGCAAAAGACCGTTGAAGGTGCGCCCAGGGCCAAGAAGACAATACATCCAAGTGAGCGTATGGCACACATCCGTTCCAAGGCAAAGGTGATGGAAGAGAAGAAAAAGGAAGACCAGGAAGGAACAAAGAAACGAAAGGAGGAGAACAAGGCAGGAGCTGAGGGCCCGAAGAAGCGGAAGGATGAGAAAGGAACAAAGAGTGATGACTTGAAGGAAGGTGATGTGGATGTCAAGGAAGAACCAAAGAACAACTCGAAGAAGCACAAGAGTGAGAGGAAGGAAACAAAACAGGATGACAAGGAAGGAGAAAAACAAGGCTCGAGAAAGCGCAAGAGTGAGAAGAACGAGAAGGAGGAAAAGAAGGAAATTAAAGATGAGGTCAAAACTGAGCAGGTCAAGATAGAGCCTGAGGATGAAGGTTTGAGTAAAGGCCTTGGAGTGGAAGCTGTGGCCAAGAGCATGCCTAAGCCAGAGCCTCCTACCCACCGTGTCCGTCAAAAATCGAATGGCACTTTGACTAACTTTGATAGATTTTCAAGTGTTGGTTCTCTTCTTGGTGCACATGTGAAATCCCTGCTACATCTTAGGCAAACTGTCAGGGACTTCGACTCCGGAAGCTGCCTCTGTCACTGCCACGAAAGGACACCAGTCACGTGGTGAGGCCTGGTGCGCTGGTCCAAAGAACAGGTGTCACTGTATAAATGGTTGGTTGGCATTTGAGCTGGCAATGTCCCAGGTGGCAACCCTCCTGAAAACAGAGAAGTTTGAGGACCTGGCCAAAAATGCCTTCCGCATTGCTATCAACAGAGTGCAACAAGTAGCAATCCAGAAATTGGGAAGCAAAATAGCAACCCCTGCTGAACAATTGGCCCTCATTGCGCAAAGAAGAACCACAAAGGGATCCCGTTCCCGTTCGAGCTTGAATTGCATTTGGACTAGGTTTTTTAACCTTTGGTTTGCAAGCACTTAACTGGTCTAATGCTATGTGTAAAACAAAAGCTAAGGAACACTGAGCTGTTAGCGACTGTCTGCCTGGAGGACGGGTGGTTGGTAGAGCTTCGCTACCGCCTTACCGGAAAGGCTGCGGGTCAAATATACAAAATGTTCAAGAAGGGTGACAGCACATATACGAGCATGATGCTCGGACAGGTTCGAGGTGTTTGTGGAATTTTATTTGCACTTTGATTCGAGTGGTATTCAAAACACCAAACATCACAACACATCCTTGGGCCATATTAAGGAAGAAAGCACAGCTCCATGGTTTCAAAGATCCTGATTGCCGACTTGCGGCAGCCCAAAAGAAGGCTGCACAGGACTTAAAGCTGAGGGATTTTGGGACAAAGTCTCAAGGGGATGCTGGTGTGGCAGGAGCGGATGCCAAAGTGGCAGAAGCAAATCCACCAAAATCAAAACGACCTAAAGTATCCAAGGTCAAGAAGTGAAAACAGGGACCAGCCTTTGTCAACAAATGTCCAAGGTTACCAATTTTTTGGTTAGGGGCCTCATCCCAAACCCTACTGCCAGCTGCATGTGAGCTGGTTCCTGGACTCGTGGTTT